CTTAGATCTCGCAATTAGCTCTGACCGCAGCGACTTTTTAATTAAAAGTTAAAGTTTCGAAGAGCTACAGCTACGTCTATCTCACGCCGACACAAGAGCACCAACTGAGTGAGAATATGCTTTATTCGCCTTCCATCGCGCAAATCGACCCATGAGCAAGGCGCGGCGACACAGGTGAAACATTCCGAGTCACTGGTGCCAAAGGCCAATTCTTTTACTTTTTATATGTGTGGATTATGGTGCAGTACGTGTTATTCAGACTAAACAGGTGTCAGGTAACTATTTAGCGAATTGAGTTTCGATATTTCAGAAGGAATTACATGGATATACGGATAGAAATTAAATGCTCAGAAAGTGCTATTTGGTACAATTGCATGACAGCGAGCAAAGGCTTTACCTGTGTGACGTCATAAGGGTCATGCATCAATATAAAACATTTGCCTTACTTATTGCGCACCTATTACGCTTTTTAAATATCCTTATATTCACGTTTAAAAGCCTACACGGAAATAAAACTATTATTCACCAAGAGTATATGGTTTTGCCGTTATTTTGAAGCAATATTTAAAGGTCTTCCTCAAAACACTGGGTCGCACAACATTGAGTTACCTAATGCGACTTTTCTGTTGAATAATTAATGTTACATTTTGTACATCAAACATTAGCAAACTTGTTCAATTATTAGGTAATATTATTAAATACATGATGCGTAGGATTATAAATCCGGTCGTTTTATTAGAGGGCAGGCAAATATACCTCTTAAAAGATGCTCTGGCAATGTACAGCGCCTCCGCCGCCAGATGGCAGTGGCGTCGCGGCGGCTGCGTTTCCTCCTCCTCGGCGAATCACCTCATTCAGTGGCGAGCTGGTACGGTGTGCGGTACTGCTCGTTGATTCCCTCTTTGGTCACAGATACTAAGGCGATTCCACAGCCATCATGGAATCGGGAGTGAGAAACAGGAAGAACAAATCGTCGCCAAAGTCCAACAAGGTGGCCAAGGGTAAAATCGAAGAGCTGGCGACGGAGGAAGATCACGACATGTTGAAGAAGAGCATCGAGAAACTCAAGCACCTGAACGAGAATATAAGCCGGGATGCTGTAAGTACACTGTTCTTTTGGGATGTATTTTGACTTTCGTGTTTCCTACGTGGCGAATAACCTATAGAAATCGCTCGAGGAGGGAAAACAGGGCAACCTACATCGTGGAACCGGCAGTGCTAGGTACGAGCCCCGTTACAGCGAACCCTTCCCTCCTCGAGTCCGCCCTCTATAACCTTTACTGTCAAACTCGACGCTCATGACAGACAAGTGATGCATAAACAGACTTGCTTGTATCTACTTCAGGACTAATGAAATAAATGCCCGTGTGAGCGAATAGGATTCCATATATGACGGTCCATGACAGCTGACAGGAGGTTGACGTTTTCGTGGCAAGCGGCGACGCTATAGGCGGGGTCGGTGCTTGTGGCAGGATTTTGTGCATGACAGTATATTCGTCACTGATTTTACAGTCCAAGACATAATTATATATAGCTCTTGACGTGACAGCAATATGATTTACCAACACCTCGTTCTTTCCCCATATGACAAATATGTCGTGTCATGCATTCAAATTACAAATGCATTAAAATTACAAATACATTACTTCAAATTTTACCCGACTAGAAATTGAAACAAATCGGCACTTGAATCGGTCCTTTTTTTGATACCAAGTCCACCTGAAGATGCAGAGTGGATGCTCCTCCTGACCTGTTTTTTGTGGGCCTTTCACCAGGAAACGCATAGCTGCTTAGAAACACGACTTTAATCACATAGACACTCAGGACATTTACAAACGAGATATATATATATTATCAAAAATTTGGAATTGTAAAGAAACACAGAGAGCAAAAGAAACCAGTTTGAGATGGAAAGATCTGGGGGGGGAGGGAGGGAGGGAGGGAGAGGTAAGTGGCCAACAACAGTACCCGTGCCCTGAGGGTATCGATGCCCACGTCAGCCAGGTAGGATGGGGGCTGGGTCTGGGGGGGGGGGGGGGGGAGACCTGACCTACCGAAAGCCTGCCACGTCTTTTACCGTGTCAGGTGTATTAGTTGCCCGGTTCCCTATCCCTACCCCCACCCCTCTCTGGGTATTTTTTCGGGGGAATTAAACGACCGGGAAGGACACTGAAGGTTGCTTTCTCTTTCTTTCTCTCTTACTCTCTCTTGCTCTCTCTCTCTCTCTCTCTCTCTTGCTCTCTCTCTCTCTCTCTCTCTCTCTCTCTCTCTCTCTCTCTCTCTCTCTCTCTCTCTCTCTCTCTCTCTCTCTCTCTCTCTCTCTCTCTCTCTCTTGCTCTCTCTCTCTCTCTCTCTTGCTCTCTCTCTCTCTCTCTTGCTCTCTCTCTCTCTCTCTCTTGCTCTCTTTCTCTCTCTCTTTTGCTCTCTTTCTCTCTCTCTCTCTCTCTCTCTCTCTCTCTCTCTCTCTCTCTCTCTCTCTCTCTCTCTCTCTCTCTCTCTCTCTCTCTCTCTGCTCTCTCTCTCTCTCTCTGCTCTCTCTCTCTCTCTTGCTCTCTCTCTCTCTCTCTCTCTTGCTCTCTCTCTCTCTCCCTTGCTCTCTCTCTCTCTCTCTTGCTCTCTCTCTCTCTCTCTTGCTCTCTCTCTCTCTCTCTCTTGCTCTCTCTCTCTCTCTCTCTCTTGCTCTCTCTCTCTCTCTCTCTTGCTCTCTCTCTCTCTCTCTCTCTCTCTCTCTCTCTCTCTCTCTCTCTCTCTCTCTCTCTCTCTCTCTCTCTCTCTCTCTCTCTCTCTCTCTCTCTCTCTCTCTCTCTCTCTCTCTCTCTCTCTCTCTCTCTCTCTCTTGCTCTCTTGCTCTCTCTCTCTCTTGCTCTCTCTCTCTCTTGCTCTCTCTCTCTCTTGCTCTCTCTCTCTCTTGTTCTCTTGCTCTCTCTCTCTCTCTCTCTCTCTCTCTCTCTCTCTCTCTCTCTCTCTCTCTCCTCTCTGTTTGCTTCTCCCTCCCTCCATCCCTCCCATTTCTATCCTTCTCGTTATCAGAATAGTTATGTCAAAGATAAACCGATCCCATTAAATTGAAGTGAAATCAAACGAATCTTTGCGAAATCAAGACATCGTTTTAAGCTAAACTAGGGAGCAAAAGAGAATATTTCCATCGTAACCTGCCACGTACGAATATCCAAAAATAATATTCAGCCACGGAGATTCTGAAAGAGGGAGGGAGAGAGAGAGAGAAAGAATGAGAATGAGAGAAAGAATGAGAATGAGAGAAAGAATGAGAATGAGAGAAAGAATGAGAATGAGAGAAAGAATGAGAATGAGAGAAAGAATGAGAATGAGAGAGAAAGAATGAGAATGAGAGAAAGAATGAGAATGAGAGAAAGAATGAGAATGAGAGGAGAGATGGAGAGAAGAGAGAAAGTGTTGATGGAAGGCAAACACCGTGGCGAGAGGAATGGAAACTGATGCGACCATGACTGGGGAATCTCAGCTCAGGGAGAAATTGGTGGCGGAGCCTTCGTCGTCAAAGATTTATGAGCTAAACTTCGAAGGTGTTCATCACTATTGTTTTTTTTTTAGTGACTTTCCTTTACGTGTGTGTATAGTCATTTATTTATTGTATATTTGTGTTTGTATTTTTTTTCAGGACGGGAAGGTTGATAGACTTGCAAGGGGCGTCCGATTAGAGTAGGATGAGAGAGGAGTTAAATAAATAGATTTATGTATTCAGTGTATATATGAACGCAGGCGAGATACAGATAGGTAAACAAAGAGTATGTTTAGGGCAGCAGCTCCCGAGGCGGCCGTAAGCCACGTGTCCCGGTCTAGCCCTCAACGAAATCTGCCATTTTCGTTCATTTTACTATACACACATATAAAGGGAGAATCTCTTCTTATAGTAAAACAATAGGGATGAATACACTCAAAATTTAGCTGCTAAATCTTAGAGGACGCAAATCCAGCCGCCAGTTTCTTTCGCGCTGAGGTGAATGTTGTGCTGGCGTTGGGAGGAATATCAATGAGAAATTGGGGAAATCATTAAAGTGTTTAGCTTGGTTGTAATGTAAAAGTATTTTGAGCTAAAGCTTGTAACTGTGTCTCAATTAAGTTACACAAGTAAGCTAATAATTTTTAAGGTGGACGTTGTCCCCCCCAGTTCCTTGTAGTGATTTAGCATGAAGCTTATGAACCTGTGATTTATTTTCTCGTAGTCCTTATGATTTAAGTTTGTTATTGTTATCTTAATGTCGCCCATCTACGTGGCAAGAGCGGCCGCACCTCCTTTACTTTATGGTTATCCTCTCCCCCCCCTTCACCCTTCACCCTCCTTCCTCCCTCAACCCCCCGCGGCCTGAAGGAGTGGGTGACGTTGACACAAGGAAAGAACTTTTTAAAATAGTGTTGCTACGTGTAAACTCATGACGGCCATTAGGAAGTAGCCTGTATTAGAACCTGTTATTCAGGGATCGAAAAATCTATTTGGATGGGAAGTCTAGATTTTTGGGGTGGGGGATATTTTTGGTTACCTGCATTTGGAGTTGAAGGAATAACTAGGTACCATAAATCCGGCTGATTCGGATTGATAAGTGGATAGTTGACTGAAGTGAATATCCTACAGAGATCCTACAGCGGAATTCATGATGTACAAGCCGCAGTAACTGTTGGATTGGTACCTATTTTCTGTTATGTTAGGGGTTGGGTAGACTCGTTTTATATTAATTCTGATTTTCTTTTTGAGAAGCATTGGTCATCGAAGGCCTGTCGAGGTCGATCAGCGTTTTGGTTTTATAATTTACTTATTGTTTAATCACAAATTGATATTTTTGGCTGTCTCGGTTGCCACTTGACCTTACTCAGAAATGGTGCTCTGAAGTCGGGATCTGTCAGTCCCAGAGGCATGTTAATTCAGGCGAATAAAGTAAATGTGAAAACAAGGCTTGGCTCAAGTTAAGCTCCGCAAAACTTATATATATATATATATATCTATATATATATATATATATATATATATATATATATATATATATATATATATATATATATATATATATATATCGAAGGGAACCGAAGACCTTTTGAGTCGAGTTGGCATTGGGCGCCCCGGGCACTGGGAGTGAAGGGGGGGCGTCCGAAGCT